GTAAGAGTTTCCATAAAAAGGCGGGATCAATATATAAGAGCTGTTTTTCTAGTATGAAATGAGGAGTTCATCAAAAGGGCGTGGTCAAAGAGGGTGTTCCGAACAGGCATTTTAAACATTTAAAGGCGGGGCTTATTAAAAAGGCGTAAATCTTAGTTATGGGCGTTTATAATGTCGAAGAAGTTTCCACAAAATAGGCGTGATTAATTTATATATGGGCAGTTCGTTTTGTATGAAGGGCGGAGTTTAGCAAAAGGGTGTGGTAAAAAAGGCGTTCATCTATTTTTTCTATAGGCGGAGCTTAACGAAAAAGGCGTGAACCTAAACCAAGGGCGTTCCCAATAGACATAGTAAAAATTTAAAGGCGGGGCTTATCAAAAGGGGCGTTTTTACCAAAAAAAGTAACAATCTCTCAAAAAAAAAAGTATTAAATACTATTTTCCCCTCAATTGTCAAGGAAAATTATTAATTTCACTGTAATAAAAAAATATATTAAAATGCATAATTTTAAAATTGTCTTTTAATGTAAAAATAAAAAGAAAAAAAATTTTGTAAAAGATTCATTTTAAATAGCGCTTATTCGGGGGAAAATTTTTAAAATCAGAGGTGAACCAGCTGCACCAATACACACACGTTATTCTTCATTGAATTAAAGGCATGTGTGAAAGTATGTTTTCAGGTCTGTAACGGACATCTCATAAATTCTCGCACGTCAGGAAATGTAGAAAAGAGAGAAAAGGAGAGAGAGAGAGTGAGAGAAAAAGAGAATGTGATGAAAGAACAAATTTTTCGCTGCTATTATTTAAAATATAATAATAAAGTAAAATTTTTTTTTTGCTTTTTTTTATTTTCTTTTTTAATATTCAATTTGAATTTCAAAATTGAATTTTTTTTCCATGTTCTTTTAGGGAATAAAATAAAATGTCATTCCTGTCAATTAAAATAGAAGAATGTGAGAAATTTTTTTTTTTGTATATAAATTTCAATTCATAATATCATTTTAATCAAGAAATTAGTAATAATTTGCAATTATTGAAGTTAGTTATAATATATATATAGAGAGAGAGAGAAATTCATATAAATCAATCGTATCAAACATCTATTTACAAGATGGACAGATTTCAAAACAGTAATCCACAATCTCATCATATAGAGTGAGAGAGAGATCTCGAGTATGCGCTCAAGTATATCCCCGCCAATTGTATGATATTGACGAGTTCTCTATTATGAGAATGAAAATTCCCAATTACCAGCCAATTCATTAAATATATGATTATGCACGTTCAAAATCTACATATTTATATATTCATATTATATATATATATATATATATATATATATATATATATATATATATATATATATTTGTGTACAAATCAAATTATAATTCTCATAAACACGAGCACCAAAAAAAAAAGGCTCCACTTTTTTTTTAAATCAACTATTATATAGAATTTATTGAAATTCCCATGAATCATCATATAATAAATGTTATTGAAAATTTTCAATGACAATTGAATTCTATACAAATGGTTCTTTATTTCTTTTTTTTATGAGAACTGTAATATTGATTCACAAATTTTAAATGACACAATCTATCTACTATTGAAATGTATTATATTGTCGTCTGGCTGTACCGAGGAATCTGTGTGTTAAAGGTCTTTGAAATGCTAATCGATTTATATATTAAATTTAAATAAATTCAATTACCCTCAGCAATGTCGGAAGTGTCAAACCTGCACGTTTCATACTATACACTCACTCCCGGTCCCCCTTTTTGCCTCCACCCGTCATTACCCGCTCCCCTCCCCCCCTCTCTCTCTCTCTTCATATACACCAAATGCATGGAACCACCTTTCCCAAGGGTAACATTGTATAATATTATTATACACGGTTTTGATTTATGTCACATGAATTCAACATATTTCATATTATTATTATTATTATGAACAGTTATTAGCTTGCCTCGTAAATTTGATAATTAGCGATTGTCGCTTGGGGAAAAATTGCTTTCCAATAATAATAATGATAATAATAATTTACATGATTGAAGTTTTTTCCTCACGCTGTCATCTGTTTGCGCTCATAACAATTGACGGATTTTTATATATATTTATTGTATTTTTTTTCTTACATTTTATTTACTGTATTTTTTATATATATTTTTATTAATTTATATTTATTTATGTTTACTATTTTATATTCATTACATTTTATTTGTCATTTATTATTTTTTTTATTCATTATATTTACTTATTAGTGAAATTAACGACTTGAAGTCCAAAAATGTAATGCTGCTTGGCACTGCGAGTCAACGTTTTATACTAGAGAAAAAGCGCAGGGAGGGGGTAACGCTCGGCTTCTTGGAAGTGACTGGCGTCCTTGAGTCGGGGAGTGGGAAGCTTGCGCTCCGATTGGCTATTCCCCTTCTCCGACCACTTATATAAGTAGCTGCAGTTCACGTACGATCGTCATTTCGGCATTTGATACGCAACTATTAGCGCCTTAGAATAAAAAAATTATTTTCTTTTATCATTTCCAAATTCAGAAAATAAAAATACTTCCTCATATATTTTACTATAGAAATTTTATCTATTTTTCCTTTTCCATCTCTAGGTTTTTTTTCTCCCGAGGAAAATTTCTTTTTTACTGATTTCAAAATAAATGAACTGTAACAAAATTGTTGTGAGAACAATACCCACTGCTGTAAAAAGGGAAAGGGAAAATGTTTAAAAATTCCAGTCTCGTATTTTCCACACATTTTTTTTTTATTTCTGTATTTTTTTACGGATATATTTTTTTTTTTGTGTTGAACAAATCGAGAAATGGACTTTTCTATCTTTCGGAGTGTTTTTTTTTTTTGGCTTGGTGTGAAATTTTTGTACACATAAATACAATCTTCTCATCTGCCGAAAGAAAACTACTGCATCTATTCGTACGTAAAATTTAGTTTCGCTACCCTTCCATTTGCAAATTAGTCTGTTACTTTCTCCCCCCCTCGAGATTTTCCCGTATTACGACTTCCTCTCGTTTTTTTTTGGTCTCCCTCTCTTCTCTATTTTCTGTCGTATTCGACGATTGCCGTTTGCACTGAAATGGCATGATTGGCTACGAAAGATTAAATGCTCGTCGCATTTGCAATGGACGGTTAAATTTAACAAGACATCCCCTGCGGTTGTGCACTTACTGCTCTTATTTTATATTCTTACTTTCTTGCTTCTCTCTCTTTCTTTCTTTCTGCCTATTTCCACTGCGATGAGTTGATCAATAAAAAGCACCGAGATAACGGGTTAATTTAAAATTTCTTTTTTTAGCTCATTAAAATCGTAGTTTGAGTCCTAGTTTAATCCACGGTAATTGTCTATTTTTAAAGAAAAAATAAAGGGAGATCCAATTTTTTTTTTTTAATTACTATCAGATTACAAATTAAGAAAGAGAATATAGTGATTTTTGTTCTTAAAAAAAGAAATTAAATTATTTTGATATTAGAATAAAAAAAATTTTTACTATTTTTTAGTAATAGTATTTTTTTGTAATAATAGTCAATTTTAAATGAATTTAAAAATTTCTCAAATATTTAAGAATTGTTGCCACGAGATGAATAGACCGTCAGTTGGAATAAAAAAAAAAAAGAAATAAAATGTTTTACATAAAAGAAAATTTCTTGCGGGTCACGTCTCTGTCGAATTCACCTAATAACTATTTCTTTTGTGAGGGGCAATTATGAGAAAGAGAGGGGGGAGGGGGGAGGATATTCCGTGTTGCAGTGAAACGATTCTTTGAAAGTGGGCCAAACCGTCTTTTTTTCTTTTTTTTTCTTTCTTATTTTTTGCCTTGAAAAGCTTCAAAAAGTCTTGGGGAGCTGTGGATTTTAAAGACGGAAAATAGTGCCCCCGACTCTATTATTCATTAATGAGCAAACTGGTATATAACGTTTAAGAGGAAAAGTTCTCCGGGGAATTTTTTTATTTGTTTGGTGAAAAAAAAGAAAAATAGTAAAATAAAAATTTCTTGTCAACAAAGATGTCTTGGCTCGTTTCAAACCTCAGGAGGTTAATATATATTTATATATTATTATTATTATTATTATTATTATTATTATTATTATTATTATTTATTTAATCGCTATATTATAAAAAAAAAATTCCACCGCCAACGCTGATTCAGAAATTTTGACAAGAATTGTACTAACCGTATAGACATGAATGTTGAAACGAACATAACCTTAAAAATCGATGTCATCTGTCAAAAATGTAGGTTAAAACGAATATAACCTCAAAATTCAAAGACATAGATTGAACATAACTTAAAAATTCTAGGGCATAGGTTTTCAGGATTCAAGGCATTAGTTCAAACATAAATTTAAAATTCAAGATCATAGGTCGAACATAACCTCAAAATTCAAGGTCATATGTCAAACATGACCTCAAAATTCAAAGACATAAATCAATGGGATTGTTGGGTTTTGAGGCTATGTCCGACAAACATAACTTCGAATTCTCCTAACCAAGAAAGAAGCATAACCTCAAAATTTAGATAAAATTTTAATAATTTTAATACTTGCAAGCCTTAAAAAAATTAATTATTAAAGTGGTGTAGACCTTCTAGTATAATATATATGTGTACCTCCTGAAATCGTTCACTGTCTGACGTCTGAATTACGTCTCATCAGAGCGGAGTTACTCACAATATTCAAATTATACTGTCGCGTTGCATCTAATGAGAATGTATGCAAATAACGACAAAGCTCGTTTCGCGAATACGCCGCGAATTTCCCTGTAAACACCTGAACCCTTCTCTCTCTCTCTCTCTCTCTCTCTCTCTCTCTCTCTCTCTCTCTCTCTCTCTCTCTGCCTCCCAAGATTACTTTAGAAAAATTCTATTTTCATTTTAATTAGCGTTAACGTTCTTTAATATTTTTGTTTTTATTTTTTGTTTGAAAAAAAATATATTATACCACCTGAGAAAATAATTGGTTTTTATTACTAAAATAATAATAATTAAATTTTTTTTGTTTATTTAATTATTTGCAACGATAGGTAAAATTACAATTCTATTTTGTTTTTGTTTTTAATCATTTTTTACAAGTGAAATAATTTTCTTAGAGAGGCTTTAGTTTCATCTTCATCATCATTATCATCATTGTCATCATTATTTTCATCTTGATGAAAAATGTCATTATCTTCATCATTTGAATAATTATTATTAGTGTCATGAATGAAATTTTGACAAATACCATCATTCACTTCTGACGGTGTGAGAACAACTTGAAAATATCTTTTGGCATTTGAATTACATTTTTGCATGTGTTTCATAAAACATTTTTCCAATGGAAGAATATCCCTAAAAAAAAATATTTTAAAAATTAATACTAATAATTACTTTAATGAATAATTATATTAATTTATTGGCATTATTTATTATATTATATATTTATTATTATATTTTTTATTCTATTTTTTATTATATTTTTTATTCTATTTTTTATTGTATTTTTTATTCTATTTTATATATTTATTAATGTATTTATTATAATTATTAATTACTATTATTATTTATTAAATAATTATTTTTTACAATTATTAGTTAATTAATTATCTAAAATAACAGTGATAATAAATAATTGCGAAATTAAAAGAATAATTGCAATTAATATAATTAAAAAAATGACTTACGCGCAGGAAGGTGATATAACGTAGGCTGGAACAAGAACCTGTAAAATTGTCAATTGATCATTAGAGAAACCAGGACCTCCACGAACAAGATGCATGTAGGGTTTTGCACATTTTTCCAAATCCATAATCTTCTCGCACATCATAATGTCTTTTTCAATAGTAGGAGCAACTGTAAAAGAGTACAATTTTGAAAAAAATTAATAATCGCAGTAAATAAGTACAAAAAATTAAGTTAGAAAACAAAAACAAAAAAACAACTTTAAACTAAGTGGAGAACGCTGCGACAAAAAAAGTGGGGATAGCGCGCCGTAACCAATCACCGAGCGCGTCAAAAGTGGGGGTAGAGCGCCGCAACCAATCACTGAGCGCCTCAAGAGTGGGGATAGCGTTCCGCCACCAATCACCGCACGCGTCAAAAGTGGGGATAGCGTCTTCCACCACTCTTCCTATTGAGCGTTCACAGTATAGTAAAATTCACAAAACCAAAGCAATAAAATCTACATTATTTCTAAAATTAAATTATCCTTTCGTTATTATTAATTATTATAATTATAATTATTACTATTATTATTATTATTATTATTTTATTGTTCATTAATGATAAAAATGTTTTCACCTACTTTTTAGTAATCTATTGGCGTGCATTGTGAGTACTTTATTTATAACTTTATTCAATTCCACAGGATTTAGACGATCATCTTGATCGAGACAATTTTGAATATTTTTAATAACATTTTTTAATGCTTGCAACATAGATGGATTATATGTTACATTAAAAAAATAATCATCACTATTTAAAATCATTTGTTCATCTTTAGCCGTGTAATCCTGAACTTCATAATAATAATCGTGTATTAATTCACGTTCAAAATCACTTTTATCATTTGATTCACATTGTTCATTTAATTCCTCAACTTTCATGTTTAACCATTTTTCAATTTTTGATCCAACACTTCTTGTTGTACTTTTATCGATATTCGCTGAAATTGAAATAAAAAATGTTATTTATTATTTTCAACAATTGAAATTAAACTGTAAATTTTATTGTTTAGATTTAATTTAAAAAAAAAAAAAAAAGTTTTTAATTAATTTTGATGAATGAAATGAATATTGAAGCGTATTTGAAAAAATACTCACAAAAAATAAATAACAAAAGAACAATAATTGAGAAGCCCTTCATTTTTATATTCGACTATTTTTAATTTAAAAAAACTTTTTCATATGTATGGAGAAACGATTGTAAATTAAATTTTTCGCTTGAAAAACTTCTATTTAAATAGCAGAAAATTCTAAACTGATATTTCTTATCGTTATGTATTGAATTTTTTTTTTTTTTTTTTAATTTATCAAACAATTTTCCGTAGTGATGTACCATTTTATATAATATTAAACTATTTCCTTTTATCCTTGAAAGATTTTTATCTTATTGTGTCCGTTCAATATGATATTAATAATATTTTATTTTAATTAAAAAAATATTTTTTCATTTAAATAAAAAAAAAATATTTTTTTAAGTTAAAAAAAAATTTATACAGATTTAATTTTTTACTAGTGGTAACAAATATGATAATAATTATATAAAGTTGAGATAAAATGACAAATTTCCCATCTGACAAAATGTATTTTTGGACAATTAATATTATCACCGGAAATAGCGAATTTTAATTAGCTTGACAGGGATATAAATATATGTGTAATAGTAGAGAAATTGGAATATTTCAGTTTCATCTAATTCAATTTTTGTGTCAAGTAATAATCTAAAACATTGTTTCTCAAAAAAAAAAGAAAGAAACCAAAAATATGAAGATTTTCATAATATCACACATTTTTCTCTGTAAGTCAATTTTACGTATTAATTTTGATTTTTTAAATTTAATTTCATAAATTTAATTTTTATAAAGCAAATAAAATATTTAAATTAAAAATTATTTTTTAAATACTATTCTACAGATATTTTACAAGTGAATTTAATTACATCTGACAAAGAATTAAAACCCCGTCTTAATAATTGGTTGAAATTGAAATTTTCTGAAATTGAAGATCTTTGCGTATGGAATGGAAAATCATCAATTGATTATAAAATAATTGATCGTTTTATTAATAATTATCATAATTATTTAATTGTCAATGAAACTTTAAATGATTCAAAATACAATTATGTTTCATATCATGCATTTAATTCACAATTAGTTGATTCAATGAAAGAATTAATAAATGCAATACAAAATTGTTTAACTGATCAAGATCGTGTATCAATTGAGGATGAATTTGCAATAATTATCAGATTTTTATTTATACACTACGAAAAAGTTTTTCAACGTAAGTCAAATTTTTTCTTTACTTTTTTTTTAAATTATTTATAATTTTTTTTATGAATAATAATTATTATTAATAATAATAATAGTAATAATAATAATAATAATAGTAATATTAATAATAATAATAATAAAAATTTAATAAAAAAATTGTGAAAATTAATTATCAGTTGATCCTGTCATCGACGAGGACCTAAAGTGCTTTATGGAAGTTAAAAAAGATCATTTGAAAACGTGCCAACAAGCCTCTTTAGTTACCCTTCATAACACGCCAAGATACTCAAAATCAATTTACGAGTTGCTTAGCGGAAATTCTACAGATCATTCTTGCAAGTATGAAATAAAATTACAATTTAATAAAATAAAATAATGAGAATTAAATCAATTAATTTTTTTGTTGAAAATAAATTAGAATTTAATTTGGAAAATTAATTTTGATAAAAAAATTAATGAGAAAAAATATAATAAAAACAAAAATTAATTGGTAATTTTAGATTTAATATACAATTTTTTTTAAAATGCTCGCGGCGTATTTGGAAAGGAGGGGGTACTGCGCGCGCCTTATGCGAAAAGGAAGAGAACGCTCAATGATTGGTTATCCCCTCTTTTCACGAACTGCGCGCGCATTGAATTTGTTTTTTTATCAGCGTTGCGCTAAAACAGCCTTAAACTCAAACTTTTTTTTTTTTTATTTATTAACTAATTATTATTTTATTTATACAAAAAATTGAAATAATTGAAAAAAAACTGTACAATCTAAAAAAATTAAAAAAAAATTTTTTTAATATTTTTTAAAATATTTTTAAAATATTTTTAAAACAATTTTTTGAAAAATAATTTCTTTTCTAAAATTATAGTTTCTAATATTCTATTGATTAATTTTTTTTGTGTTACAATTTTCAAGGGACGTTTTAAAAACGGAACAATGCCTCATGAGAGCAGCAACTGTCAATCAATGTAGTTTGAATGTCAAGAAAATGTTTCAAATTCTTCTCAGTCCACCGGGAATTGTTATTTGTGACGATTTTCCCGAGATATTTGAATTAAATAATAATATAGACATCGACAATATTTCTCCAGAAGATGATAATGAAAATAACTTTGATTTGGTTAAATAAAAATTTTTTTTTTTTCAACCACAATTTTTGATTTAATATTAAAATTATCAAAATTAACTGTTTGTAATAATTTTTCTGTAAATCAATTATTGATAATCAAAAATAAACGATTGAAATAATTATTAATCATAATTTTGTTTAAGAAGAAAAAAAATTTTTTTTTTTATTTATTGATAAAAGTGAAAAAATCAGAAATAATAATCATATTTAATAATAGGAAAAAAAATATTCCTGTAAACTGTTAACAGGAAATTAATGCAGGAAATCATAAGATAATTTTTTTTTATGTACATAACGAGATATGCAATATCAAGAGTTGAGTTTATTTAAATATGGAATTAAATTTCTAATACAATACAATTTATGTTTACAATATTGTTAAAGACGTATTAAAAATAAAAAATTATTTCTAAAATTTATTTTAAAAAATGAAAGTAATAATTTTTTTACTCACCATCATTTTATGTAAGTATAATTTTTGAAAATTGTATAATTACTATTAATTTTTAATAAATATTTAATTTTTTATAAATATTTAATTTTTTTAAATAAAACAATTTTTTAAAATAAATAAAAAATTATTAAAATTACAGATAATTTCCAAAATGTTGTAAGTGATAATAATGATAAATCAAAAATTGATAATTGGTTTAAAATGAAAATTTACAGTGAAATAAACAAGGAATGCGCGTCAAGAACAAATAATTCGATAAATTCAAAAATTTTTACTGAATATCATACAATTTTAGAACAATATTGGGAGCCACTTTATTATCGTGATGTAGAGAAATTTGATTATGTTCTTAAATATGTTTATAATTCAAAAGTGATTGAAAAATTAAAGGAATTAATTAATCTCATACAGAAGTGTTTAGATAATGAAAAACAATTAAATCCCAATGAATTGATTATTGTTATTGAACGTATTCTCAAAATTCATGCCAAACGAGTTTTACAAAGTGAGTTTTTAAACACTTTTTAAACTATCCATTTTTTACATTCTATTTAATTTTTACATAATTAAAAAATTTTTTTTAAATTAAAATTTCATTATTAATTAATAAAAAATTTCATTTTTTGTTTTCGAATTTAATTCATTGAAAATTAATTTTAATAAAAGTTTAATTTTTTAAATTACAAATATGATTTTTTTTATAATTAACAGTTGATCCAGAAATGGTTGCACAATTTGGCGCCTGTAGATTTATAGCAAACAGTAAAATATTTAGAAATTGTAAAAAAGATTATAAAAATATTTTAATTAATCCAACGAGAAATGATGTAACTCTCTTTCAATTACTAACGGGATCCTCAGTATCATCATCTTCCTGCAAGTAAGTTTTTTTTCCCTTAAGAAAAAAAAGTTTAAACAATAGAAAGAATAAAACAAAATTTCTTCCAGGGAAATTCTACCATTAGAACAATGTTTCATGAAGGCTTTTGCTCCCTGTAATTCGAGTGCAAGAAAAATTTTTAAACTCAATCTTACTCCTCCAGACAATAAGGAAATTATTTGTGAAGAATTTCTCCAAGAAACAGAATCCAATGATAATGACGACGAGCACATTAATGACGTTATAAGTCATGCATTTGGATTCTTTAGAAAAAAATCCCCCATTGTTGCCGTTGACAATAAATATAAGTAGACTTTTGTCTAAGAGAAAAATAAAAAATGTGGTGACAGCGGTGGGATTTTAAAAAGATTTAGAATTAATAAAAAAAAAAAAAAAAATAAACATAATTTAATATATGTAAAGAAATTTTTGATAAATTGACACAATGAGAAGAGTAGGAAAAGTATCTCCATCATTCAAAACCATCCAAGCGTAAATTAAATGAGAGGGTGATTCTATTTTCGATTACATTTAGAAAAGAATCTTTAAAGAAAGAGAGAACGTGCGTTCTTGATCCATCCAGAAAAGATGACAAATCATTCTTGGTTGAAAATTGGAATTTCACTTTTGTGAGACATTGCGCGCGTGAACGCGAAAAGAGGATTTTAACTTCGTTATCATCATAGGGATGAAATTCCTACGCGCTCGTTTGTGAAAATTAAAATTTAATTAAGCTTACAATTTCTCCTCTCATTTTTTTTTGTCTCTATCTAATTCCAAGCCGGAATCCCTTTTAGTCTTGGGATACTCATTTTATTTCCCGTGCATTTTTTTTTTTTTGACGAAGAGGGTTGGAAATAGGTGGGAGTGTCACGTTAATTCACAGTTTTCTCACTCAATTAGAGTCTGTTCCAAGTTTTATGAACGCGCCAATTCTTACACAGTCAAATTGAGAAAATTCGATTTAAAAGATTTTATTGCTGCTAATTTTGCTGCCTTCTAATTTTCTCGTTTCGCTGTAAATTTGTACGAGGAATATTAAAAGCCATTTCCTCTGGTTTATTATTTCATTATTGCAACGATTTTTAATTCACCCGGTTGGGTTTTTTTTTTTTTTTTTTTGGTGGGATATAATAAAGTTGTAGGATATTAATTAATTTTTTAATGTTCGTATTAAAGATAAAAATAATAAATTATTAAAATTAGAAATTTTTTTAAAAGTGGTAAAATTAATCAAAAATTGTAGGAATAACATTATGTTGTTAATTTAGTTGTCTCATAATTTTTTAATATTAAAAATATTCCAAAGTTAGGACTGTGGAGTAAGTCACTTGGTAGCGACGGAGGAAGAATGAATTGGTGAGTGAGAATCGTCGGTGTTATATAGTGCCTTAGTGGGGGGAGACTGGAGTGGCGCAGTGGTGGGGAGGCGTGAGTCCCCAACTGGCCGCCCGGCAGTGGAGGGGGAGTGGCCTCGCGTCGTAATTGGCCAACAGCATTTTATATAACACAGTGCTCCTCGACTTTAGCCTCAGTTCGACTCTGGCGCTCCTTGGTGTTGTATCTCTGAGATTAATTTAAACTATACTAATTTTTATCATACTTTTTTTACATTACAAAACTAATTTCTTTTTTTTATTCTCTAATTCTACCAACAAATTAAAATAACCTAATTACTTTTATTCCAATGCCTAAGCATTTTCGTAATAAACCTAAAAACATTTAAGTAAATTAGTTTATTTTCTATATAGTAGAAAATGTAAATTTATTCAAAGCATACAATTTTGCTTCGTTGGAGCGATTAAAACTTGAGGTAAATTCAACATTACTAAATTGTGTTTCTAGCAAAGGGGTCGCGTCATCCAGGGTAACATATTTCAATTTCAACCTCGGTGGGTGGTATTCATTCGTGTTGCCACAGTGGTAGGGGGTCGAGGTGCAAAGATACGATGTTAAACACCGTATATATGGGAAAAGTCATGACGAGAAAAGGAATGGGGGAAGAATTTTTTTTTTCTAAAAGGCAAAAGGGGGAAAATAAGAGTAGTCGTTGGCCCAATGTTTGCTTTTGCACTTTCATGCGGAATGAGAGCAAAGCTCACACTTGAAAACCACCTTTTGGTGAATGAATGTACATTTTTTGATAGAGTGACATTTTGTCACGAAAATACACCTTTCTGCGCGGTTTGGTAGTTGACAAAGTTTGTGTTAAATACACAAAAATTCTAGTGACATTGAGTTTTGTCCGAAAAGAAATTTTTAGTTTTACCAAAAAAAAATGTAATTACTAATTTTTTTTTTGTTTTAATTAACTGTGGTCTATTTAGTTTAAACGGTCTCGTAAAAATCTTTTTATTGTTCAGAAACTATCTCTTTCCAACACTTGGCTTTCTTTCCTAGCGCACTTTTGAATGTTCTTTTAAAGTCTCTTTTTTTTTTGTTCTGCAGTTTCAAAGTCTTTCTTTCTTTCCTTGAATTTTCGTTGAAGTTCAACTTGCGGAGGGCAAATTTTTCTTTTTTTTAAAGAAACTTTTCTGTTTATCGACGTGATAAAATTAATAAAAGAGGAAAAAAAAGGTCATTTATGGATTTTTATTTTGTATTTTAAATATAAGTCATAAAATTGTGAATGTCACGTATACGCATAATAGAAGAAGAAGAAGTTGACTGCAGTGGACTAAATCCAGTCTCTTTCATTTTCCGCAGCAACTCGTTGGATTTATTCAGCAGACCACACGCTGTCGCAATAAATAAAAAACTTTTTGGCGGATTTCGTTCCGTCAGGTTAGTATATGTATATATATATATATATATATATATATATTGGATTGCAAAAGGGTTAAGCTTTCGGGATGCTATATAAAAGTAGAGCCATCATGCGATACTTTAAATTTGCTCCAGAAAAGTCACTCTCTTTTTTTTTGCGCTAAGATCCCTTTTGGCCGAGAACACGCTTCTTCGTTGAAGTACGAGCTTCAAGTAACACGTCCACTCTTCATAGTTACTCACGCCACTCAGTTTTTTCTCTTTTATATATATATATATATATAGAGAGAATCTAACACTACACCATCATCATCATCCCTTGTTGCCTATTTTAATCTTCTTTATCTCCACGACTTTCACTGTTCCATAGGGTAGAGTGTAATTGGTAGACAATGCTTCTTAGGAAAAACCTTTTCCTTTATAAAAAAAAAAACATCGAATTATCAACAAGAGCAAATCATCGAAATTTTGATTTTAAGGAACTAATCAGTATTTACCATTTAATCTCCGATTGCTCTAAATTCTGTTGAATTAAACAATGTCATGTATTAAAATCTTTAGAAGTCAAATCAAAAACGGACTTCCTCCATCAGTTTTTTCTAGGTTCGTTGATTTCTCGCGAACTTTATTCACTTTTCCGAAAAGAATTCTTGACTGATGGGATTATCGGTAGGTTTTTTTTTATTCGCGTGAATCATCCCTTATTATAATCCCTTTTTTTAATCGGTTCTTTCCACCCCTTTAGTCAAATTCTTCCACCCCCTTTGGTTCATTCTTCCGCCTCTTTACGATATCTGTCCTCTTGTCTCTCTCTCTTTTTTTTTCTCTCCCCCATGCTCTATTTCTGGTTTCTCTGCCTCTAACGTCGTGTCGTCGTCGTCGTCGTCGAGTAGAATCGATTTTCTTTCAAGTCCATCCCCGTTTCCTGTGCTCTCTCATGGAAGATAGAGGCATACGTGCGCGCCTCCGGGGAGGATGGATGGATGGCAAAATTAAGTAGATAAGTTCGCGAGCCGGTTATGGGGCCGTTGTGTAGACGTCTATATAGAATCTCTCTCTCTCTCTCTTCCTTCCAGAAGATGAAAAAGGACGAAAGTAGTTTCGCTCTGAGAAAACATACGATAAGCTGATCCCTTTTCTGAGCGACGATTGGCTTCCCTCCCGAAAGTATAAGCTTCGAAAATATTTTCCGTCGGTAAGGCACTTCTTCTTTTTCTGTGAAAGTCGATTTCGTTGGCTCTCTCTCTCTCTTTTTCTTTGTCCGGGTGTCTCCCGGAAGGAAAATATCTTGGGTGATATTAAAATGTATCTCTCTCTCTCTTTTGCTGGACTCAGTGTTGACCCACTTTTTTCCTTAAGAATTAAAAGAAAATTTCTCTAGTTTCTTTTTTTTTCGAAGAATGAAGGGAACTTTTGACAAGACTATAAATTTTGATATCAAGAATATATTCCACTTCTATTTTTAGGTATATAGAATGGAATGCATCTTATTTCGAGAAGTTGTTTTGTAAGAATTTTTCAACTCTCTTGCTTTAATAAATTTTGTTGATTTGAAAGAAATTGGAAATTTTTGTGATAGTTTTGTAGATATTTTATTCAAAATGTTATACGCTTAAAAGAATTATTGATAAAGTTTTTTTAGGCATTAATTCTTTAAGATTTCCTATTGTAAGATACAAAATTAAAACTTCTTTTGTTGCACTCCTTAATTATTAATCCTAATACTTAGTTTTTAACTTTCAATTGTCACTATATAGTTTTCATTGTCAGCAAATTTTACTAAGGAAATGTAATCAGTAAACCTCACTGCGTCACGTGTATTCTATGATTTCATTGTCTTATTTAGTGAATATATACACAAGCTTTAGTCAAAGTTTGCGAAACCCTAGATGTATATTTAGTGACAAATCAACAAAGTAATTAATGACGAAATAAACCACTTAATTAATGTCAAAACTTATTCAATTATTGTCGAAAATCATGCTACCTTAACATACAGTGAAACCCACGTATATTGGACACGCATTATTTAGATTCCCGCTCAAATCGGATTTTTTTCCCGGTCCCATGAAGTCCGATAAACATGGGTTTTATTACCGAACTAGAAATCTCCCTTACCAATTGATGGTAAAACAGTTTTTTTGAAAATGCTAATATAAAAAATTACCGACATAGAAGTCTACCTTACCGACTGATGGTAAAGAATTTTTTTTGAAAAATTCTAATATAAAAAATTACCGATATAGAAATCAACCTTACCAATTGATGGTAAAACAGTTTTTTTTGAAAATGCTAATATAAAAATTACCGACATAGAAATCTACCTTACCGACTGATGGTAAAATATAAAAATTACCGACATAGGAATCTACCTTGGTAAGGTAGAGTTCTACGTCGGTAATTTTTTATATTCTCATTTTTCAAAAAAAACTGTTTTACCATCGGTCGGTAAGGTAGATTTCTGTGTCGGTATGTTTTTACTTTTCAAAATTTTTCACCCCAATGTGAAATAACCCTAATAATCACGTAACGATCGGAAATAAAATTCGATTTTGCAAACGCGCATTACAAAGAAAATTATATTTATTTATTATATTTTTTCTTTTAACCTCTATAAAAGCAATTAGTATAAACAGTTTTACGGTGAAAATCTCGTTTATGAAAGCGCTAACCAATCAATCGTTATCGATGAATGAGGAAAAGAGAGAGAAAGAGGGCTTTGAATTGAAAACAATTCCTGACACTAGTTTTTTTTTTTAATTAGAGAAAATAAAAGAGGAGTTTTCTCTTTTTTTTTTTTTTTTTGTTTTAAAATTTCCAATCATTCCCGAGGTAAATTGAATTCGGGACAGTGGTGGCGTATAGGCTTTGATGGGAGAAAGAGAGAGGGTGGTGGTGGTGGTAGGTAACTTTGACTTTATAAAGCGAGGAGCTTTGCTCTGCACTGAGAGCAAAAGCGATTCTAATTGCTAGTG